TATGTTACAAACTTTTGCAAATTTTATGTTTGTTTTTGAATTTTGTTCAAAGCTACACGAGGGCTATCTGTGCTAGCCGTCCCTAATTTAGCAGTGTAAGACTAGAGGGAAGGTAGCTAGTCATCACCACCCACCCTCCAATTCTTGGGCTACTCTTTTACCAACGAATAGTGGGATTCACCATCACATTATAACACCCCCATGGCTGAAAGGGCGAGCATGTTTGGTGGGATAGGGATTCGAACCCTCGACCCTCAGATTGCGAGTTGAGCACCTTAACCACCTGGCCATGCTGGGTCCAAATTATACATTCATCTTGGTTTGTTAATGTAATTAATTAATTTTAATTGTGATTAAATTTAAAATTGAACAGAGTGAGGTGATTGTACAATTAGCCATTCTAGTTATTTATCAGCAGTTTTATTTGTCTATAAAATTTTAATGTTAGTGTTATTCACAGTAAAAATCAAGATGTTAAAAGAATAAGTAATTCAGAATTTTTACTAAGTTTTTTTTATGACTTTGTGCTTGATAAAATGCTACAGCTTTTTTGATGGTTTTGCCTTTCACCATCACTAATGTTGTGGTTTGTTTATGATAGTGTTATATTTCTGTGAACAAAAGTAACTGTTCAAATAAAATTGCAGTTTTAATTTTGTGAAGTAAATAGGTAAAATATATCTTAATTACATGTACAGAAGTATCAAAATTGTTTCTCATGGTTTTTTATTTCTATAAAAAGCAATTTAATGTTTCTAACTAATGATAAAATGTATCATTTTATTTAATAGTAAGTTATTAAAACATTTACTATTAAAACTGAAACTTTTGTTCACTTTACAGCTGCAGTCTGACAATTCAAGTAGTTGTATCACTTTCCTATACTCTGCCATTTTATCCCGAGGCATTGACAGGTATGGGACAGATGTTATTTGCTTATCTCATGATAGGATTTTTTTTATCATTTATTTGTAAGGAAGCAAAGCTAGATATACTTTGGTGCTAGGCATATTATTATCCACTAATTAGAAATTAATAATGAAGCAGTTTCCTTCTGAAAATTACTAGAGCATTTCTGAAGTACTGTTTTTTTTTTTTGGTTGCACTGGTCTGTAAAAGTAAATTAATATAGTATGCATAATAAATCTACTGCCTCCCAAGTGTTTCTGTGGCAAAATTGAGGTATTATAGTGCTAAAATTTGGGATTATATCCATGTTCAAATGATAGTGCAAATACTTTATTATGTAGCTTTGAGCTTTAAATAATAAATGGATGAAATATTAGTCTATATTATGTAGCATAGAATGTGCTAATCTCAAGACATGTGACTTTGTGGTTTCACACTTCTGTATCTGTTGCATACATTATCAGTAATAAATGCTGTTTACATGTACAAATTTCTGAATCTGTCAAGTCCATTAAATGGTACATCTACCTATTGTGTCTACACACTTTTCTTTTTGTTGAATCCATTAAACAGTAATGCTTTTCAGTTACATGTTCACACTTATATACCAGTTGAATCATTTAAACAGTAATGCATCCCAGTTAGATGTACACAGTTCTATACCTGTTGAATCAATTAAACATCTCAGCATATATAGTACATTGCTGAGCTTCTGAATTATACTATGTAACATTTTTGCAATATCTAAATGCTTGTATATACAAGGCTCACCAAATTAGCAGTTATTTTAATACGTATGTGAGCTGCTTTTTTGAAATTTTAATGTGTAAATGTTTCAACGGACTATTTATGAATATCCTTATTTCAGAAGTAAAGGTTGTTGTTTTTTCATGTTTATCTGTACACATGACTTAGATAGCAGTTTTATTTTTTATACAGGCATTGATACAATAATCATTTGTATTTTGGGTTTTGTTTAAGAGTTCTGAAAGACATGGATGATCCACACTCCACATTAATTGGAAGACATGGGTATTGTACACAGGTAGATTTTGATCGTATTGTAAATTTATGTCATTATTTGAAAATATATATGCTCTTCTTTATACTGAATTACTCGGAAGACCAGTGACAAACAACTAGTTCACAAATGAAGAGTTAAAGGAAAATAATTGTTAGTGGTAGGAAATGAGTTGTTGTTGGTTTATGCTGACAATATCATTGAGGTCATTCAAGGTCATGCCTTTTTAAACTTTGATTAATATGCATCAATTTCCATAACAAATGAAAAATTTTTTAGCCTAAAATTGCTCTACAGCAACAGTTATGGGCATGAGTTCAGATGAGGTAAATATCCTCCCAGCAATATAATGAAATGTTTACAAACATTTTGGAAATGTGCCAAATGTTGATATAGCAGCTTTGTTATCAATATTCAAGGTTTATGTTTCTGGTCTTGCTACACAGCACTTATGCATAAATGAGCTTGTAGCATGTAGCCACTGTTACCACATTTCCTGTCATCTGTTGTAAAGGATGACATTCATCTGGGAACTGTTTGTTGTGGAAGCCAAAAGTAGTCAGGGCATTCTTGACTTTAGACCCTTGTTAAACTATTTTTCATCTCAATACTGTGTCATTATTTAGGTGATTGGGAGCATTTGTAGCACAGTGCTTGTGTGGTGCTTTATATTAAAGACTTTTATTTTAATACTTTTAACCTTTTGGGCTCTTCAAATGTGCAATTATGTGTTTGTGTAAAATTCTGACCTTCCACTTCAAATCTAGATTTGTGTAATAACCTTTATTTAGTCAGATTTTGATCCTTTGTGACATAATTCTGTGTGTGGAAGGAGTAGGGGTACATTTGTGTCTGTAACTGTTGTTCTTGAGTGATTTTGATAATTTTTGGTTTAAAATGTTTTATTTGTTATTGTCTACACCTTTGTCATTGACATTTGTGGTGTATGGGGCATACTGATAAGTTTGAAGGGAAAGATCATTAAGTTAACTTTGAATGACCTCAGGGATATTATCACAGGACCCACAACCCATTTTCCCATACCACTGACAACTATTTTTCTTGTATTCCTTCATTTCAGAATTATTTACCTTTCAATGAACTTCTGATTCACCCTGCACATGCTGCTTCAGTTAGACAGGAAAATTTATCTGCCATAAGAGACTGTTTTTCCATTATTGTATTTTTGGGTAACATATGTATAGCACATGATCATGTCTGTATATTTATTTCTGAAAAAATATTTATTAAATTAGTAAGTATATTTCACATACAATCTGTTGCAGTTGGCTTTTATAATCTCAAAAACAAGTTCAAAGGAGAATATATATATATAAGGATGCATGTTTGACAGTAAAACGTATTTTGGATAAAACAGTTTAAAAAGCTAGAAATATGCACAATGTTTCACCAGATTTATTACCTGGAATTTTTTAACTTGATGAAATGTGTATGCTTTTAATTTTTTTTCATTATTTCATTTTTATACAAAGTTGCCAAATTTTGTTGTTACATTTGACAAAGTACTATGTTCTAAATTATGTTGTTTTTTGTAAGTCATTTTAAGTAATAGAGAAAGAAAGGATATTAATAATCAGGTGTACAAATATTTTGAGTAGTTATTATGCTCATTAGTAATCAATACTGTTGTTGTTAACTTCTTAACTGTTAACAAATACTTGTGTAATTACCACATATATATGTATAAATATTTTATATGTGTGTATCTGTTTAAAAGTGTTTGTGAATTAGAAATTTAATAAGTTATGTCAACAAATACCAAGATTAGTAGAGTTTGACTGAGTATAAATCTAATTCTAAAAGGTAAACATTTTTAAGTTGAAAAATGTAAAGTTTTTTGCCGATATTTCATGGTGCTGATTATTTCCCTATGTGTAGTAAGTGATTATAATTCATCCTACAAAGTCTTAAATTTGGTTTATAGTTGTGTTGATGTTTCTGTATTATGCATTCTCAGGGTGAGTCAGTGGTAGGTATCTGTGTATACAATGTTAAAATCTGAGGTTCAATTCTCACTGGTAGACAGAGCACAGATAGCTTATTATGTTGCTTTGCACTAAAAAACAACAACAGTATTAAGTTAGGGAACACAGCTACTTTTTTAAAGAAATTATGAGCATAATATGGTTACTAGTGACCTACTGTTATAGCAAACTGTAAGTGCTAAAAATACAGGAAGCCTTTTTACATAGATAAATGTGAGTGTGTGTCTGTACATAAAGAAAAGTGAATTTATTTTTCTTTGTTACATAAGTCAGATGTAAAAACATTGACAGTATTTTTACTTTTTTAAAAGTACTATTTGTTTTGTTGAAGCACAACTTGATGTTAGAATAACTTACTTATAGTAAAAATCAAAACTTGTGTTTAATACTAATATTTTTTATTGATAAATACAGGAGATGGTAAACTTGTTTCTTATTGGAAAGGCTGTGTCCAATGTTTTTGATGGAATGGTGGAACTGGGCACAGCTGATAAGGATAAAACAATCCTTCATGGGATTCCAGAAACAAGTGACATAGGTTTTCTCTCCCTGTTTGAACATTATCAGTCTTGTGAGGTAAATATCACAACATTCTAAGTTTTTTTATTGTTTCTGAATATAACACATTTTTGAAATTAAATTTTCGTATTTGTTATAAAAACCATTGATACATGCATCTATGTACCATTGGTTAGTGGTGTGACAGTCAGAATAATCAAAGATAAGTCATCAAAATCAAATAAATGAGTATTCAAGTATGTTTTACCATAATTGATTAAAAATGATTAGAATTCTGTTTTGGGGATATGTGGTTTTTACATTTTTGATATATTTTTGTTTCTCAGCCTTGTTGCAAGAAAAGTAGATATTTAAGATAATTAAGATGTGTTCACATTGGTTTACAGTCACCAAACCCAGCCAAGCTGAGATTTTGTTAGATAATTAAAGGCCTGAAACAATTCTTGGAATTAAGTCTGTCTGAAATGAAACTAGGATGTGTTTATTGCTTGAAATTCATATTGTACAAAATAAAAGGATGATTTTAATAACCATGCACAAAGTTTAAACCAGGCATGTGCAACATATGGGCTGCATCTGACCTGCAATGAGTTCTTAAAATATAATTGAATCTGGCTCACGAGCCGCCTGTGAACTTATATTTTTTTCTGTAATCAATCAAGGAAAAAATAAACTTGAGTGCCTACAAACTGATAAAAGTCTGAAATTAAATTATTTTTAACAAATAAAATATAAGGAACTCATTTTCCTTTGAATTATTCTATTTTTGTCTTACTGACTATCACTCTGTATATAGGAGTAATCACTGCTGTAGACTGTATAACTGTGCGACAAGAGCTGTTACAAAATCATCCAAGCCCTTTTAGGATTTGTTAATAGTTCTCTCTTAGATTTAATATTATATCATTTATAACCAACAGAAAGTCAAGGTTTTCATCCATTAAATGATGTGTTGTATTATATTGTTTTCTGTACAGAGAATTGTCAATTTCTCTTTTAGTACAAGCTTCATTCCCATGGAAAAGATATCGACTAAAGGATGTGACAGGTGGGTGTTTCAAGTGGAGTCTGATTTTCTGTTTGATGTCTCTGTAACCAAACAAGATTGAGGGCTTGGAAAATTATGCTTTTTTTTAGCAATGATGATATTATAGTGAGTAATTTACATTAAATTTTGTACTTATTGGAGGGGTGTGAATAAATTAGAGAAGAGGGAATGACTAGAGAATAAATGTTGCATTTCTCACACTAGGGGAAATTCAGGATTTGTTTTTTAATATTGCCTTATAAATCTAAGAACTTAAAACTTGTATAATATGAAAATATGGATTATTAGCTACAAATCTGATCCACCTACCGCTATGGTAAATGGTTTAAAGCATTTTATTTTTCATAACTTTTGTTAATTAGATAATACTCTCATTCACTGTATATGCTACTGCTCTTCTATTTGTACCCCTTTTTATGGTAATAAGAAATTTTGCTTCATGCGGTGTGTCCCTCAAATACATTTACAAATTGCTATCCGACCCATTCCTTGAAAGAAGTTGCACATGCCTAGTTTAAACTATTAAGTTTTCATGTGTTTCTTTACTACAGATTTATCCTGAATGGTAAGATAAAGAGATAAAAGAAAAAACTCCAAATGAATGCAACTAATCTGAAATATTTGTTCTTAAACTTAATGAAAAATAAAGAAAATGTTGCTAACTGGTTATAATTGATTATCAATTCTGATGAACAAATTATTTATCTTAATATTTCAACCATTTCTCAATACTACCATTGGTGAGTGTAATTTTGTATTAAAGAGTGTAGGTAGTATTTATGAATGGGTGGAGTAGTAACAATTCATGGAAACCCTGTAAAAAGGCAATTTTGGTACCATTTGTACTGTACGTGGATATGTTATCCTAAGAATTTACGAGTGAAAGTAAAAAATGTGTAATAATAATATGCCAGCCACACTACATCTGTCATGTCCAGTGCCAAAGGGGCATTTCACCCAACCAGGGCTCATCAGGCTGGCTAGGAAATGACTGTTAAGGCACTATTTATATCATCAATTTCATGTACAACAATTGTTACATTGTGAAATAGGTTGAGTAAGTGAAGCGTAATTGTTATCAGTTTTATTTAAGTCGTTTAAAAAATCTGAATTATTGGAAGGATTACTAACACATTATTACTAACACTAGTTATTTATTATCATTTTATTTACATTAACTTTACTATTAATTCAGAAGAACTGGCAACCAAGCAATATAGTCTTCTTGTTCTTGGAATGGGGAAAGCAATCACATTAACAAAAGGAGAAAACCACGTACATAATTTTAAGAACTTGTGAGTGAAAATGAAGAATGTGTAATGATATGTCAACCACGCTACATATTCCATATCCATTGCCAGTGAGGCCTTTGGCCCCTATACCAGAGCTTATCGAGCCAGCTGAGATACGAAAGATGTAGCAGTGGTCTATCTAGGTGTCATTTAGACATTGTTTGTGGATATTTTTTATTTTTGTTTACTGTAGAACATTCTGTAATAGCTTCAGAACTACTTAGCTTGACAGGTATTCAAAGATAAGTAGTTGATGATAGTTGGACATGTCATTTTTCATCTAGGTAGGATCTCACTACAAGAACCCTCTAAATCCTATCTGGATTGTTCTCAGTGAAAGCCACTTTTCTGTACTTTTTGCCACTTACAAAGGGGCACTTTCGGTAGACTTGGAAGGTTTCCTCTTTGACTTGTTTTACTATGATGGACTGGCTAGACAGGATGAAGAAATTTGTTTAACAATAGGTGAGTGCCATTTTTAAATAGATTATAATTATAATGAAAGATTTGTTGCTTGAAGAGATAAGGCTTTATAAAATAATTAAAATATAGCTTGTAACACTTTGTCCAGGTTATGGAATTTGAATTTTTTTCCTTTTTTTACATTCCTGAAAGCTTGTGAGAAGTATATGAACATTCTTTGGCGATAGACTTAAATACCTCTAAAGATATACTTCATGTATATTTATATTCTTTCTGTATATTCTTAAGATTGTAAGAGAATAAAGTTTTGTTTTCTAATACAGTAGGCTTTAAAATATCTAAGAACAAACTTAAATATGCAGATATTATTTTCCAGTCTATTCTACCTCAAATGTTTAAGGATAACAATTGTATATACTTGTATGTTAAGTCTCTTTTCATACCTATCTGAAAACTTACATTTATGAACTTTATGTAACTTGATAATATCAGCCTTTTAGACTAAAAATATAAGAGCATATAGCTAATAACTTAGACTTTTTTAGTACAAAAACTTACAAGTGTAAAGCTTACATAATCATAATAGTTAGGTTTGTTTGCTATAAAACTTGCTAGTGTAAATCTTGTATACCATTTCTGGGTAGTGGTGTGAAAGGTTTTAGGTTAAGTAGTCAACGTATGAAACAGATGATGTTGTAATGTCATTATTATAGTGAAAATGAATTTTTTTTCATTACGCTCTATCTAGTAAATTTTAGATAGATTCTCAGATAACTTTATCAATATGTTTGTACTTTAGATCTGGTGCTCATTGTTTGATTATTCTCACGAGACTAATCTTCCTACTTGCAGCTTGTTTTGGGTTGTTGTTTTTCTTTTAAAGACTTTTGAAGTACATTTTTGTTTAGTATGATGGACATTTTCCACATGAAAATGTATATTATGTACAATGTAGTATGAAACCTATAACAAGCTGAAAATACAACTTATACTGTTCTGTGGGTTTCTCCTTAAACATTTTCACAAGACTACTAAAATGATATAAACTAATTCTTTGTCAGAAATAATGTTACTTAGACTTCATGTGAAAAAACTAGTATTGATTCTTGTCACAGTGTTTGATAGATAATGTTTAATTCAGTGAAACAAATTCCTAGAGAAACAAAGACAGTACATTTACTATTTCTTAAGAAACATGTGCTGATACTGGATGATTCTTTGCAGAAATTGAAATGACTCATGAGGTGGAAATCAAAGTATATGAAATATTAAAACCTGGGTAATCTGAAAAATCTTTAATTACAGACATTTCAGAATTGTTTTTCTTACTAAATAATCAGTGGGAAAAAGTAAAAAAATAATTGTCAACATTGTAAATATAGAAAAATCACAATATATTAAGTGAGAGTGTGAAGGTGTGGGCAGAAGTTTAGAAAGAACACATTAAATGTTTATAATTTGTGTTACATGTTGAAAAAATTAGAAATGTACATGCTGAAAAATCTATGAATCAATGAATTTAAAGCTTACTGTACTAGGCAGTCAGTATTTAAAGTTAACATTATGACAGCCAAACTTTTGTTTTCCCTTTTTCTACTTCCTATTTAATGAGTGCTAATATTAATGAAATTGGAGTCCTGTTTATGTAGATTGATTAACAACTTAACAGTACAACATATTGTTAGACTGTTATTAGTTCATGTCTAGTAATTTCTGACAAATACACTTATACAAGTTATTCAGAAAACAAAGTTTTATTTGAAATTAAAGGATATTAATTTGCCATAAGTTTTTTTATTAAAACAATCTCACTCAAGGTAACAGTGGTTATGTTTGTGCTTGTAATAAATAAGCAGTATTTTAAGTTAGAGCTACCCTATTGCTTTGACATTCAAGGTAAACACACACAACAGACACCAATAATGGTTGGAGATGGATTGAATGGGTAATGAAGAAAAACTAATATAAGTTTAACATAACAGCAAATGTACAACGTTTCGACCCATTCAAGCCGTCTCCAACCATTATTAGTCTCAAAGTGGGTTCCTCACCATTGAACAAGCACCAGTGTTATTAGTTATGTAACCAACATCCACTAGCCCATACCCTCACATATATGAGTTGTGTACAATCAGGATTGCATGCATACCATTGTGCAGTCTTGCAAACTGTAGTAGTAACAGCTAATGTTTTGAATACTTGGATGATTGGAATTATAAAAAAAATAGTGATAATTCAAAAATTAATTTTGATTAGTTAATTATTTTCATAACATCAATTTATTTAATCATAATTTCAATTACTTGATAATTTTACCTAACACTAGTTGGTGTAATCAGTGCTTGTAGGTAATCTATTTAATTGCCCAGAGTATAAAACAAGACAATATATAAACCCAGATCCCCACCCCAAGCTTGTTTAGTAACCTTCAATAATTATTATTTAGTTTTGTGTTTAAAAGCAAATAAAATAAACCTACCATTCAGATTTTCTATAAGTTACTGCTTTTGATTAACTAGAAGCAACAGGGCTTGGGTTTAAATGTTAATTCTTGTCATGCTAATATTAACACTGTATCAAACTTAATAACCATCACTGTCTGTAATATGTATGTTTCACTCTGCAACAGTATGCAAACAGTTGTTTTTGTGCTAGCTTAAAATGAAACTTGTCAGGAAAGAAAGCTAATATGGGATTTAATGTGGTTTCATAAACATAATACCTATAAAATGGTATAACTTGTACAAAGTTTTAATAGGTAAAAAAAATATCAGTACTTCCGGTAATTTTATTCATACTCTAATATTGAATGATCAGGGAAGCTTTGAAATTTTAATTATACAAACAAAACAGATTCTGCTTGACAAACATTTGTTTTTGGTAGATCATGCGATTGACATGTATTACAATTTATAAGTTTTATATTCAAATAAGTTATACATCATTGGATAAATTTAAAAACAAATAAACCTAAACTTTCTACTCTTTCAACACATCTTTAAAGATTTTCCAGAAGTTACTGCTCATGATCTGCTAGAAGCAATATAACTTTTGATGCTTGGGTTTAAATGTTAATTATTTTCATGACATATATTTATTTAATCATAATTTTGATTAATTGATAATTTTATGTGTACACTAATTGATGTTTTATTAACTTAAATGTAATATTAGCAATTAAGTTAAACAGTCTTTTATACCCTCATTTTAGTAACACACTAGTGTGTTACATAATTACACAGTTGGTAGGATTTATTTTTCTAAATATTTAAAGAAAGATTAATTTTGTTCCACAACTAAAATAGCTCAATATTTCTGGTGTTTCTGTAAGAACCACCTGTACACCTGTATATTCTGATGTTCAATGGGTTTCTGCTTGATGAAAACATTTCACCTCTTTGTTCATTTATTAAGTATTCTTTATTATCATCTGGTTTTTATAGTCATGAATATGTCTCTCTTAGTTCCTTGATGATGTTGGTTTCTTCACAGTGAGTGAGAGCTCTTCATCTTCACTTTTGTTCTCATTGGTCCTGTGGTGTTTACTTTAGTTGTTTAACTCAGTGCTCTATACTACCTGAGGGAATTTGTATTTTGTTTTCAACTTGTGGCCTTTCTGGGTATGAATGCAGTAGAGGAAAACTAGAAGAATTTCTGCCTCGGGGAAAAAATTGTTGAAAGAGATCCTGGACTTTGAAAATGTTTGGCTTTATTTAGATGTCTAACACTCTCTAGCTTATTTTTTCACATTGTACCAGTCAAAGTGATTCAATAAATGTATATTCTGAACTTAATCCATGGGTTTCAGTAACTGTGCATTTGAGATGAATATTGTGAGAACCATCTACTTTGTGTTTGAATGATAGGTTATGAGGGTGCTTCTTCACATCAGGTCCACAGACTTCTGTGTGTGTGATGTTGTGGGGCCAGCATTGGGAGTTCATATACCTCTATAGTCATTTGGTATGTTACATACTGAATATTTTAATGTACACTTTATGGTTAGTATTATTTGTTCTAGTAACTATACCATCAAACTATTCCATACTTCTTAGAGGTGTAGTAAATAAATTAAAGAGGGAAGACTTAGAGAGCAAATGTTACAGTTCTCATACTAGGGGAGATTGAGAATTTTCTTTTAAACATTTCCTTATAAAATTAAGAATGTAGAATGTAAATAGTATTAAAATTTGATTTATTAACTCTGGTTTCATGCTGAGTTTATTTGTATACATTGATAATAAAGTAATGTAATTCTGTAAAAGGTTGTGTCATGCACAATTTAACCTACCCATTGTGAAACGGTTAAAGTCTGCCTTTACATGATGCTGCTAGCTTGTATAAAATTTTATTTTCTTAGGAGTGATAGGCACTTCTCCTTACTCCATTCTTACCCCTTTTTTTCAGTATGAGTGTTCTAGCTGAAGGTTATAGGAGAGTTGTAGTATTGTATTTGAAATTAGAATTTTATAAACTTAAGTTTAAAGTGATACTAATTTGTACCATAACCAGTCTCACCCTCACCCGTTCCTTAATGGTGGGTCAAGAAAATGTAATGACTTTTGGTAAGGAACAGTTTAGGTAAAGGTCAGGTAGGAGTGATAACATGTGATAGTTGGTGATTGACCTTTGAGTGTGACAATAGGGAATCATAATCACATGACTATCATGAGGATATGTAATCATTTTGTATACAGGAAAATTCTATGCAATATGATGCAGAGGGGTGGAATGAGAAATTACATCTTTTTTTTTAGTAGAGGTATCTTTTTCAAATTAATTTTGATTACAAAATATTGAGGTTCAGTTTCACAACACATTGGTCTTTCCTGTCTGATACACATGGGATTCCTGTGTATAATGTTTTCCCTTTTAGGAATGAATAAGTAAAATTGTGTATAGACTAATATCATCTAAGAATTCCATTGGTTGTTAAAGGCATAACTAGAACTTTTATACAGTTTAAAATCTTTTTTGTATTTAAGAATTTCCACTTAAACAAGTTTAATCACCTTTTGAATAGCAGTTCTTTGTTATAAGAAGCAAACTTCTTGTGAAATGTGTAATTTACATTCCACAACCAATGATATTACTTTGCTGAATACTTAAAATCATAGTTTAACAAAAACTCAAGTTGATAGCATTGTCTCTGATGAATGCCTAAAGATACAAGATAATGTGTGATACGTGGATAATGGTATTTGTGTTTTATCTTATGAAATGTAAATTAATGCTCCATAGTTAAGACATTGAATTTGTTTTTATAGATCCAAAGGGAAATGTAGTTCACGAACCGGATGATGTGGACTTGGTGCCTCCATTAGAACTATGTATACAAACCAGGTATGGCAGGGATATTTTATTTGTTTATAAACTAACAATTATATAACAGGCATTGGAAACTTCCCAAATATTTTGTTTCTTGTGTAGGTCTTGCTTATAATTGTAGAAGTTATACTTTCAAAATGTAGAGAATCATTACAATTCATCTTTTAACTTATGAATACAGATAATAAGATATATTACTTTAATAACTTTATAAGTTACATTCCATGTTATTTAGTAGAGTAAGGTTTATTAGCCAGTTTATTGATTAATATAATCATATCCTCTGTTATGGAGTTTAATCCATGCATTATGTGACTTAATTTATTAATGGGTATTGAATATGACACAACATAGCAGAATCTCAATGTGATTTTAGAATTATTGTGTGGATGTTATTTTATGTTAAGAAACTAGGACATTTCTTCACAAACATTATTTATCTTATTTCTGCAAGTTTTCAACTCCTTGTAACCTTTAATGGGTAATATGTTAGTATGACATGAAAAGTATATTGTTTAAATATGTTTGTTGGAATGAGTTTAAAGTGTTATCTATCAAAAGTGAAATCTACAGTAATGGTTAGAAAATAAATGATTATTAAAAAAATATGAAACGTGTAGAAAGCATTGTTAACCAAAACACATTATGTAATTTATATATGTCTGCCATGTTCACTGCACATGTCACACTTTGCTCACATGAAGGTGCACAAAATGACAATATTTCGTTGATATACGTATCTATTGTTTACTGGCCAGACTTGACATTTTTTGGTAAGTTTGAGTTAAAGTTTAATTTAGAATATATAGCACTAGAATAGATAGGCCTATTTAGTTATAGATCTACTAATACGTCATATATTTAACCTCACACACAAAAAAAATTTATGCAAAATTAGAATGTCATTTATGAAAAAGTAAACAGTAGGCCTAGCCTATAAAATAAAATAATTATTGGGAACAACAAAGGGGAACATTTTTTCATCCCACTAATTCCAACCGATCTCCCCTTCGAGCTCAAATGCCTGCAGTTCTCAGTTCAATTAAGTTTTGCGATGTCAATCAACAAAGCACAGGGCCAGTCTCTGAAAGTAGTGTTACTTGAATTGACGTCACCATGTTACTTACGTGGACAACTCTACGTTGGATGCTTAAGAGTGGGGAACAGTATGGGCCTATTTATCTTTGTCAGTGAAGGAAAAACAAAAAACATTGTTAATAAGGAAGCACTGGTTTAAAACAGGTTCGTAGTTTATTTTCAAAAATCAAACCTAAGGTTGTTTTTTTTTCATAAATTCACAAAATATTTTTTACCTGTCAAAATGTGGAATGGGGAACAGAGTATTTTTTTTTTTCAAAAACCCAGGCAATGCTGGTAGTATTATAATATAATGTTGTGTCAATTAGTTGTATAGAAACTAAATCACTAACATGATGAATTTTCAATAGGTTATTTAGTCTTGTACCTACAAATTAATTATAATACAACTTTAACATCAACCCCAGTAGTGTTTTGTTGTCTTCAATAAATAGAAAAGTACCATACTACATTGAGTGGTATGTGTTCATTATTTTGACTTGTGTCAAAAGGAGAGTAACTTCTGTTAACCTTTATGGCAACGTCTTGTTTAATTTTTTTTATTATCTTCACATGAAATTCTTGGTCAGCTGCACAACATTTACTCCCTATTGTATTATGTTCATTTTCTTGGATGCATGATGCTAAGGCATTTACTAATATTTGTGAATAAAAAAAGCTTTTCTGTTATTTGAGTAGTTTGACATCACAGAACTCCTAGCTTACTGTATTCACTAACTCTAAATTTCCTTATCTTATCTATTTTGATATAAGAATATTTTTGTAGTTTTAAAACAGACATAATATAACACCAATAGATTATTATGAACAAATAGATCATTAAAAGAAACTATAAAAGAATTCTCAGGTTTGTTGCTTGTTCCTAAGTTTTCTAAACTTTATATTAGAATCCTTTGTTCTCCACTTTGAGAATTTTTATTAGTCACTTTCTTAGAAGCCATACAGTACTGTGCAAAAGTGTTAGGACAAAGTCAAAAATTAGATTTCAGGCTACTTTCAAAGAACAATAGAAGGTAAATCACAGGTGAAACTAACAGAAACTCTGTAGAAGTGCTTGAGTTCAGCAAACAGTTAATATTTTTAGTGTCCCCCTTTTGCTTTAATAACTGCAGACAGTCTTTCAGGCATTGTTGCAACATATTTAATCAAAGTGTACTTTGAGATTTTACTCGAAATGGTTCTAATACACTCCCATAAAGTTTCTTTGGAAGTAACTTTGATTTGTAAAGTTTTTGATCTGCTCAATTGAGTTGAGATCAGGGATATGTGGAGGCTATTGCATCATTTGAATGACTCCAGCAGCTTCTTTCTTAGCTAAGTAATTTCTGTATAGGTTAGATGAGTGTTTGGGATCATTATATTCTTGGTAGTAAAATCCTTTACCAATAATATGCAAACCACTGGGTATACCATGATGGATCAGTATCTGATGGTACTTGCGCTGGTCCATTATTCCATCTATTTTGCAATTATCTCCTCTTGCCTCAGCAGAAAAAACACCCCCAAACCATCACACTGCCTCCCCCATGCTTTATGATAGGTGCTATGCATTGAGGTAAGTATATTTCACATTTCTTCCTCTGGACATACAACCTACGCTTTGATCCAGATGTTTCAAACTTGGACTCATCCATCTATAACACCCTTTTCCAATCATCAACAGTCCAGTTTTTGTTCTTTTTTAGCAAATTTCAATCTCTTGACATTATTTGGAGATTGAAATAAAGGTTTTTAACCGCTAAACGACCAAATATTCCATTCTTGTTGAGTCTTCTTGATACTGTAGAACTGGACACTTTTCTCTCATTTGGTACATGGTCGTTTATCTTGTGCTTGGTATCAGTGGCACTCTTCCTTCTGTCCCAATGGCTGTGTAAACGAAGATACTTAACATCAGTATCATTGAGTTTAAGTGTTCTGCCTTTTCCTTTCCTATTTCCAAATTTACCTGTCTAAGGTGTACTTGACAGTGTTTGGGGAGCATTTCAAAACTGGAGCAATTTGTTGGAGCAACCAACCAGCATCACGTAAAACTTTTATGTGAACTCTCTGCTCTACTGGCAATTCTCAATGCTTTTTAGGCCATGGCATGACTACAAAACTTAATATATAGTGTTAAACACAGTTTTTATCAAGATTTATTTCTGGAGTGCTGTTAAATTGATTTCTTCTAGCATATACTAGTACCATATGCTAGCTTCTTTCTAGATATTTAAGACACTGCATGGGGTACCATGACAGTTATTTCAGACCCTAAGTTTGATCAGTAAGTTCGTTCAAGCAGAACCCTTATGACATGCCCTTGGTACAAGTATATAGGAATTCTAAAGAATAAGTATTCTCACCCTAACTCATTCAATTGTCAACAGGGATCAGTGAAGCATTACCATAGTTTTGAAATTTACATTCTGTAATGGTATGGAAGAATTAGCACCATAATATGAGAAGAATGACAAAATATTCTCTTGTCATAACACTTTTGCACAGTACTGTATATTACTGCTTACCCCATTTTATCAGGCAAGTGGTAGTACTGCCTATGTAGGGATGGCTCAGATTGTTCATTGAAATGGTATTTTAAATATCTTCTCAATAGGTCATTAGAACTTTAAAATACTATAGTATTTCCTTCCATAATGATATCTATGTAATGACTAAGTCACAAGTTCTGGGAATATCATAGCAAAAAGTTTGAATTTTTTGTTTTTCTTTCTTTTGCTTTTTTATTACATGATAACTCAAAAACCAAAACATTAGTGTCAACCAATTTCACTAAGGTGACATAGTTTCAATAGAGTATTCGCTTTTATAAGTATTATTAACTAGTAGTAATTTAAAAAAAATCATAATTCTAGTGTAAACAACGTTATCATTACCCCTTAAAGTTAGCTTTCATACAGAAATGTAGTGTTTCTTTAAAAAGCTTAAGTACAGGGTGAAACAGGAATTACCAGCCTGTAATAGATAAGCAATAAATAAATCAGTTGGAACCTTATTGTATTTAAAATTTATAAGTACTACCTTTCTATGTCTATTGAAACACTATATTAAAGAAAACAAGCAAATAAAAAACTTTTCAAAAATGGAAATAAATGTAGGGATGGCTAATATCAATCTTTCAAAAACTATGCAAACATCATCCCTACATAATAGCACAGGTAAGAATTAACATATAGCAATATGTACAATTATTCAATCACAATTGTCAAAAACAAAAAGTTTAATCTGTCTTTTCCTAAGGGATGCCACAGCCTGAATAAATTTAAATCTATACTTTAGGGTGGACAGAAAATTCTCTAAGGGAGTTGTTTATACCTCTTGTAGCTGCACAGAGATGAAGGTTCAAACATTTTGAAAATTTGTGTCTGAAAATTACACTAAATACATTTTTCAAAGTTACAAAATGTCAATTCTTAAATATGTTTGAGTGAAAACTGTTACAATTATTATTTTTGCTTAAATTGTGAAATCTGATATGCAAGCTTGTCCTCAACTCCTGAGAACTCCGCTACAGTCCTAGTAGAGTTAAAGGTCTTCAAATACACGTTCCTTCAAGATATAGGAAATGAAATAAAAACTATTAAAAATGTTCTTCCTCTAAGAACAAATAGCTACGTGCTTTGTAAAACAGTATTCTCCTCAATACCATTACCTACAGTTAAGTAACTGTTTGTTATAATCTTTATAAACTGAATGTTTTCAAAATTGTTAAAAAGTGACCAAAATTTTGTTTCATAAAATAGAGAAAATTTAATAATTGAATAGATTACATAAGGGAAGCACTAGTAACGTAGGAATAAATAATCACTCTTGTATAAAAAAAAACAAGTTGTTAATGTAATAATGATAAGCTGCTAGAAAGTGAAGAAGAGATTTTGTCTCATGGTTTTTATTTTATTCCTTCATTAAACAAAATTTAATTTGCTGACATTTTTGCTAATAACATTTCATCAGAGCTTTGTTAAATGGTTAAAAGAAGCATTGTTGAGATGTGATAAAAAACAAATCTGCAACCTGAAAAATGTAAAGCACTTAATGAGCATAAGAAAGACAATAATATTGTGATGCTTTCTGCTGTTAAAGAAAATGCTTCTGTCTTGTTAAATAAAGAATACTATGAAACCAAAAATATCTACACTTTATTTTAGGATATAAAAATATAAGTTAGCCTCCTAGTTTCAATAATTTAGTACATTGCCCAACCTCTACCAAAGATGTATAAAAGAAAACTCTACCACACCCTCTTGTTTGTTCTCCTCCGAACTGTGCTGCTCAATTTCTAGCTAACGATCTTAATTGCCTTGCAGGACAATTTGAACACACTATTCAAAGCAGACTCTGAAGAATTTGTTAAAGTTTTTGGAACACTAAAAGCCCCGAACACTGATTTTATGATCAGGTTTGATATAGTATCTTTATTTCCAAAGATATCTACAAAGGAGACTATACGTGTAATTAAGGATTTGTTGAGCAAAGATCAAGATCTCTTAATGAGAAATAATATATATGTAGATAATCTGGTTACCTTACTGAAACTTTGCTTAAAATCCAGTCATTTCCTCTGGAATGGTGAGTACTGTGTGGCTAAAAGAACACAAACAAGTGATAAAAAAAATTGTACAATACATACATCAAACATGAGAAAATGACAACATTATACTATGGAAAGAATGTAGTGTGGTGGACCAAGACTTTCATGCAAAAAGAAGATGATAAAGTAAGCCGTTGCTGTAAGGGTTAACAGAAGTTATCGTCCTTCTGGCTTGAATCAAATAAATGGACAAATGCCACTGAATACAATATTGTTGTTGTTTTTTTTATCAAAGATAAAAACCATTATTGTAAAACTTACTGTTGCTAAATGATACTTCAAACTCATTCCAAAGGGTTTGCACTAGTCATGAAGATTCTGGAAGGTCATGGAATTTTGTAAACAAATTTCTCAGTGCTTGTAATCCTGAAAAACCAATGGTTTTTATCAGTCTTATGATCTTAAAAACCAGGTTTTGATACCTGCAGTGAGGCACAGCACAGATAGCCCATTGTATAGCTCTGTGCTTTATGACAAACAAAATAGTTGATCTACAAGGTTTTCAGTTCTTTGAAAAGTTCTTTGTTAGGTAGAATTATAGCAATAAGTTAAGAATATAATGGAATGGAATTGTGTGGGAAAACCATGAAATACACAAAATTGTTAATGTATGCAACAGTGTAAGAGTAGTCTCGATAATAAATGAATGTGAATCTTTTGATATTGGCATTGTTACGTAGTGACACAAGTTCAGCAGCTAATCAGGTACAAGTTGACTTATTGTTCTATTGTCTAATTGACATAAGATGTTCAATAAATATTTGGTTCTAGTTACATGCTAGAGGAATTTTTAGCTCCATCGAAAGCACAGGGAAATAGATGCAAGGCTTTATCACTTTTATTAAACTGCAGCTGACAGTTTATTTCTTTTAATGTTTGTCTTAAATCTTATATATTTCATACTAGGAAAAATTTTACTATTCCTGCAATTTATTTTTTTACAGTTTACTTTTCTGTTCTGTATGTGGGATGCTATTTATGACTAAGTTGCTTGAAGTTAAAAAATCAATCAAGGGAAGGAAGCACTTGATGATACTTTCTCTTTCCCTTACTTGTTTAACACAACTGTTATATTGTCTTTTAAAATACACATACAGTCTGTGTATATCACCAGATTTTTTATTTATTGTACAAAAACTTATTTTTGCAGAAGATTTTCATATGTATTGTTACTTAAATAAGCATGTGTAGCTTTAGCATTTTAATTTATAAAATTTCATGTTGTTAATTCCAGTTTATATTTTTCTTTCATATAATGCACATATTGTAAATTTTGTTCAGTATCGCCATCACAAATAATATCAATCTTCTATATTGGTGGAATGTAGTAATTGAAAAAAAAGACACTTCTGTGTTTGGGTTTAATCATATTATCTTATTATTCCCTTACTTTCAGGTGGAAAGGAGCTGCTGTAGACTGGAACAACACAGAACCAATCTTGTAACTAAGACCACCTATTCGTGGGTCACAGAATTACCATTAAGAATTCACATTTCACATTGTGTGGTTCAGAGTTGCTGTTGAGAATTAAATGTTGTCCAATGTACTTAATTAATATATTCAAAAGCAAATACTTTTTAACCCTCTAATGACCTGCATATAAAATTTTTAAATTTAAGGTTCCCTTGGTGGTTCACAGTAAGTTGGAGAGTTTATAATGCTAAAAAAGTGGGTTTAGATACCTGCAGTGAGAAAAGCACAGATAGCTCATTGTGTAACTTTGTGCTTAACAAAAACAAGTCAAATCAAAATTTAAGTAGAAGTAGTGATTCTAAGTTTGATTCAATAACTTTTAACTCAAAAATATGTTAGAGGTGATGTTTTATCATATACATTTAGTGTAATTTGCAAAGAAAGAAAAAAGAGATGTTCCATTTCTATGCAACATTAAGGCATTTATCAATTTTTTATTTTTCTGCCCTTCCCAAAGTACAAGTTTATATTTGCTAAAAAAATGATCTTCACTTAATACTATAGTTATCCATTATCTTTTTTTCTAACCTGAATTTTCTTTCTCTGTTAGTGGTTTTACTACTATAGCCCTTTATTCCCACCATTTTATGATGTCACAGAATTAAATGTGGTCTGAACAATTTCTAATGAAATACGTCCTTAAAAATATCTATAGGCAACACTTACATATGATCGGATAGAGCAGATTATAAAATATTTACACCAGTGTAGAGTAGATGAAGTGGTTTTTTAAGAGTTAATAGTTCCTTGATAAAGTGACTAACTGGAGCTTCTGTAGAAGTTGAACAAGGGTGTTCAGTGGGAAGTTTAGAAGAATTCAGAACAAACCACAGATCTGGGAATTTTCTACTTTTTTTTCTTTACATTCTTGTTATTTCTTAAAATGGTTAATTATACCTCTATGAAAGCTTCAGACATTTTCTTCCGTGAGAAGATATCTGGTAAGCTAGTTAGGTTTAATGAGTACAGTAGGCAATGGCAAAGTATTCTGATGATTCAAATCCTTATTTATTAAATATTATTGTTAGATTTATCAAATTTGAACAACACACCCAAATAAAAGAATTTATTATTGATTGAAAGAAACTATTTATTACATAAAAATTGATCCCAACGAAGAATATTGTTAGCAAAAATCATGGTATCTGACTTGACAAAAGTAATGGTGATACTATTTTTGAAAAGTCAGATCTTCAGTGATGGATAGGTTTTTGTCAGTATTTGCCATGTTTTTATGATTTATAGCCTGAAGTGCTGATGACTGCAATTGACAAAGTATAAAAAATGTTAATGAATATCAATCAAGTTGAAACTGACTAGATATATAAAGTGAAACCTCCTTAACAACAATATTAAAAATTTAAATTCTAAGATAAAAGGAAGTATTTGTGATACTTTTCAAAATAATGCTTCACAATAAAATTTTAATGATAGTCATGTTTATTCAAAATATAAGAATTGTTAATTTCTAAAACTAGACACTATTTAGAAAGATTATAAAAAATATCATGCAATATGGTTAAGAATTTCTTTGTGAGGAGGAAAACAATCAAGGGTTATCAGTGTCACCCCTCCAGTCCAGAAAAGTGGGGCACATGTAGTTAACTTTAATTACTATAGGATGTTCAAGTAGAAATCAATAAAAGTGTTTTATTATAACCAAAGAACAATAAAAACATTATCGTTTTGTTATGAAAAATACATGTACCATAAAAATTTGTAGTGAACCACTATTTAAAGAAAAAAATTATGCTAACTAATTCTACAACTCTTAACCTAATTGCAAAACATTATTACACTCTAGAACTAAAAGTTCACAATTTTTAGAAGGTAACAAGTTGTAAATAAACTTGGCTGCGTCTGAATATTAGATGTTGCAAACATGTATGTTTTCATCTAGATCATTTTTATATTTTATATATTTCCATCACCTTTCACTATTTATTGTTTTTAAGATGCATTAGAGCAATAGTATCTTGTATTTTTCTCTATATGTAACTTTATTGAGAAGTAGGATGTTTTGCTAATTTTAAATTTCAACTATAGCATGAACAGTTTTCAAAGCTTACTGAGTTTGAATTTCAGTATTCAGTCAAAAGGATGATGATTGAACTTAATTAAAAGTAAAGAAACTGTAATCATTGTGTGTTATACTAAGGAAAGATGATACAGTTTTTAATACAAAAATTCTAAATGGCAACATTGCTTGTTGTACAGTAATATTTTTATAATGTACAGATGGGTTTGTAACTAAACTAATGAAATGTGCATGTAAAACTTTTGACTTAAACCAATAGTTGCAGTAGTATGTTGAGACTTTATAGAGCGGCACTTCTCCAAAATTATGTGCACAAGATACACTGATGCCAGTCAGATGGTTAGGTTCTACTAGCATAAAGTTAGTTGCTTGTAGGGGTAAAAAATACTCAGAACTTCTTACTTTCATCCACCTTCATGAAACAAATTGGGGTGTAGAATCTTGAAGACAAGAAGAGGAGAACAAAAATTAAAGCACAAGATTAAGAATCTTCAAATGGCTTGTATGAAAGACATATAATCTGTAGTAAAAGTGTGGTGTAGACGTAAAAATACTAGTCTAAAGATATAGAGAAAAGAGTTTGAATACAAAGAAATAGAATTTATTTAAAAAAGACGTTAAGGCTTACTGTGCTTGGTTTAATGTAATAGAAGAAAAAATAGAATAAAGTAATTGTAATGGAACGAATAATCTATAGATTTATAAAACGATGGTACATGTACTACAACAGTAGTGAATAGGAAAATTCTGAAGTACAAGAGAAAATATAGAACAAAAAGAGCAGTGGTGATGATTGAAATGAAAACGTTAGTTGTCAAGTGTAATCTTCATGCCAAGTTGTAGCTAAGCAACTCGTGTACAACACAATGGTAGAAGACTGAGTAGTAACCTTAAACATAGAAGAACCTGACTAAAGGATATAATAAGATCCAGCTTGTAAATATAATTGTTAAGAACTTGTGACCAAAAGTAAGCTAGCCATATAAATCAGTAGTCTTCAATTAGTTGGAAAATTTTCATATCCTTAATGATAATTATGTAAATGTGAAAATCACTGCTTCTAACAAAAGCACTAATCTGTCAAAAAAAAAAGACATTACATGTGCTGAAATTAAAAATCCAGTGATATCATAAGAAATGCATTCCAAAAGTGACAGAAATGTTAAATCAAGCATTTAAGTGGTATAAGCATAGGTACTTGCCCCAAGGAGACTACAGAAAAATATCTTGGAAGATCAGAACCTACAACTATAAACCTCAGAAAATTTCAAAAGATGGGATCTTAACAGTGGGTCAGTTACATGTAGTGTACAAGGACATAATGAAATAAGATATTTTGCAGCAAGTTATAATGTGTCTGTAATGAGTGAGGAAGGTTACATGTATCGAAAATTAGCCAATTATAAGCATATTTGAGAAGGAATTCTGTGTTTACATGTAAAGCCAGAAGAATGGAATAATTTGTTATGTATACAATATTGTAATTTATTTATTAATTAAAGTAAATATTTTTCTAAACAAATATAAACTTAATATAGACTTAATAGGTATATCTTGTACTTAGACCATTTTTAAGGTTTGGGGAAATTGAGGGCTGTAGGTTTCTCACTGCTATAATATAATAAAGTTTAAAAATTACAGATATGAAAATGTTTGCACTACTTTAACATGTTAATCTTTCTTGTGCTAGGCTCATCATCTCATTTTAACTTTAAATTCTTTTTTCACAACTTCTTATGTTTCCGAAAATCTTGGGTAGCAAAATAATAATAAAGTATTTCCATTATCTACATAAACAGAAATTCTGTTGAAATGACTTTTGTTTCCAGCTTATACCTGGTGAATTTTTTACACAATTATTTTTTAAGCATTTTTGGTTGTTTAATAAGTATCTAAAGTTTATATACATGTATGTTGATTTTTTGTGGCAAAAACTTTAAGATATTGATCAAGAAATAATGCTAAGTCTCTTACTGTTGTTAAATGGAATAATGAGGCTGTGTACAAAGTGAAGTGCAAAATGACCAATCTGTACACATGTGGTTTGTGCATTTTTTTTTCTTACACAGTGCTGTCATTTTTACTGGATTCTCTCAGCTGCTGCTCCTTCAAGATTATGTTCCAGAATGATTAAATCAAACATTTCTTAGTTTGAACGAAATGTTGCATCTACCAAGAGTGACTAGTGCTATGCCTTTGACTTGTCATTTTCATTACAATATAAGTGAATGAACTTAGAAAGACACCACTGTCGAATATCTTGTACAACATAGAGTATTGCAGCAATATTCCCTGTCCCCTTCTTGGTCAGAGTAAGTATTATCCAGTCAAGAACAAAGGCAGCTGGAACAAAATAATGTTAATTGCTTTTTCGCTGTATATTATGGTAGGTCATGTTACGTATTGCGAATTTGAAATAGTCCAAAGCCGATATTTTAGTTAATTTACGCTATCTGCCAACAAGATACACACCTCTTCGTTTTTCACACAAATACGTTTTAATATATATATATATATACAATAGTACAATTTACAACAACAATTATTACGAATAGTTACCACAAGCAAAGTTTTATAAAACAAAAATTTCACTAACTTTTACAAACAACACAAAATCTTTCTAGTTCAGAGTCTTCTTGATATCCAGCGAGTTCTTGAAGTCGGTTGTACGTACAATTGCCGAGAAGCTAGCTAGCTTTGTCAGACACTGAAATGTTGGACCATCGAAGTAAGATTATATTTTCATAAAACCACTAATGTCCGATGAGAATTTAGTAATACTTTCGGAAAAATACTAACGTCCGATGAGAATCCACTGACGTTTGAAATTTATAACAGTTCCTGATCAAATGTCGTATATTTTCCGGTTGATAAGGGTTAGCAAAATCACGGTTTGTAGTGTACACTGTTATAACAGGTTACCAGTATTCTTGTGAGCTCTCTCCTTTGGCCTTTGTCTTTTCCTATGTACGGGAAGTGTTTTTCTCGAAATTTGGACAACAATAGTGAACTATATTTAAACCGTTATGGAAGTGGATATATTGTCGATTCTTGCATTCACAAATATTTACAACCTTGGAGAATTGGCGGGAGTTTCGCCATACGTAACAAACACTGTAAGCTAGGGACGTTTTTACATATAAACCTAATCCCAACAAACGTTGTCATTAAAATAAATATAGAACAAATTCGTTACACTCAATACACATCTAACACTATAAGTTATGCATATTTTTAAATACGAATTTAATCTAATCTTCAAGGTCATGTTACCTCTTTGTTCCATACTGTGTATGTGTATATATATCTGTGTCACTGTAAACTACTTGTACCTGATGATGACTAAACCTTGTCCAAACGTTGTACATTTGCTGTTATGTTAAACTTATATTAGTTTTTCTTCATTACCCATTCAAGCCGTCTCCAAGTATTATTAATCTAAACAACGTTCATATTAAAAATAAATACATAACAATAAATTTGTTACAACTCCCTCCTTAGAGAATTAAAAATTGGCTTCGGACAATTTTTAATTGAAACATTATATATATATACACACACACACACATATATATATATACATACATTGGCCAGATTACATCATACATAATACTGTTACGACAGCGGAATTCACGTGACGCTGGTAACACATAATGAGTATCTAGAACGAGTGTTTGCCAGACGCCCTCTATTTTGTATATATATGACAGGCAAGAAGTGACGACGGAGAATAATTGCAGACAGAGAGATATAGAGACAGATAATCGAGGTAAGCCGTAAGTAAAGTGCGTGATTCGTTGTGAATTCTAGCGTGTGTTTAAGTTAAAGTGACTGTGGAAATTAAGTGTATTGAGAAAAAATAGACTAGTTTTATTTAAGAAAGGACTTGTATTGCTGAAGTTTTTGGAAGGAGTTTTACGGGAAAGTAACAAATGACCAGAGACATAACGAATTGGTGTCAGAGAGTGGGACGAAAAAAAAAAAGGAGATGGAAATGAGAAGTGGCAAATCAAACTACAGCTTAGCAGATTTGATGGCAACAATACAAGAACAAAAAAAGAAACAAGAAGAACGAGAAAAGAAACAAGAAGAGAGATTACAGCAGTTGTTGGAGGAAAAAGAAAGGAAAGAAGAAGAACGAGAAAATAAACAAGAAGAGAGACTACAGCAGTGGTTGGAGGAGAAAGAAAAGAAACAAGAAGAGAGGCTATAGCAGTGGTTGGAAGAGAAAGAAAATAAACAAGAAGAGAGATTACAGCAGTGGCAACTAGAACAAGAAAGGAAACGGGAAGAAAGTATCCAACAGTTACAGGAAAGTCAGCAGCAACTACAGGAAAGTCAACAACAGTGGCAAAAAGTACAAATGGAAAACATTAATAAATTTCAAAGTGAATGAAATACATTAAAGGATGATTTATTGTCTTTTACACAAGGAGGATACATTAAACATCGACTTAATCAGCCCCAGACAACAGCAAGACCCTTCCAGACCTCGCAGCTAAACCCTAATGCAGACATCTTCAGTCCTGCTAGAAGTCCCTTCCCAGATATGAATGTTAGCAATAGTGGTGATCTAGTATCAAGGAAGCCACAGGAATTCGATGGGAAGGCACTGTGGGAAGCATTTCTCTGAAAGCTGACCTTTTCTGGCCTTGAATCCTGATGACTGTACCAACCTTGGTACCTTTGTGCTGGACTTAACATAGGATTCGAATTCAAGAGCTCTGGCCATTGCGTCCTGCATAGTAGAGGGGTGTGCTTGCTTGACTTGTATCTTCAGTTGTGGACTGTCCAAAGCATCTACAAACTGATCCCTCAGCAACAACATGAGGAGATCGGGTGGTGCAGTTGGGTAGGCCTTGTGTGCCATACTTTCCAAGTCCTGTGCCAGCTCTTGCAGGCTCTCCCCTTTAGCACGGACTCTCGTTCTAAACCTAGCCCTGTAGACTTTGGACTGATTTTGAGTTCCATACCTGATTTCTAGAGCAGCTACCAGTGCTCTATAGTTGTGCTTATCGTCTGCTAACAACTGTCAAAGTATTTCTAGTGGTTGTCCCTTCAAGATCGTTGCCAGGTACACTGCTTTCTGCTCCTCTGTCCATCCATTCATTTCTGCCAGGAGCTCAAATTGTGCTCTATGGTTTGAGGGACTTTGCTGGCACTGTAACAAACCTGGGCACAATAAAGTTCAATGCCGGAAACTTCAACACAGGGAAGATGCCATGGCAGGAAAGGCTGCTACCCAGAATGGTTGTTGAAACTGTGGAGAGCAAGGACATATGAGGAGCCAGTGTAAGAAGAATACTACCAATAAGTCAGGCTCTGGGTGACCAGTAGTGGTTAGTGTTGAGCGATACCCAACAAATCCCATCGTGAAAGTCCCAACAGCTAGGTGTAAAATGCCAAGCACACATAGCGTCTACGTCACAAGAAAGCTGGATGGCCAAAAGTACAACTTTGTCATAGATTCTGCATCTCAGCAAACCCTTGTGAGTATAAAGATGCTAGATCACAAAGGAGTACCAGAAGCCATATAGAAGCTCTGTGGTGTGACAGGACATTATGCAAGGTTGTTGGGACCAGTGTGGGTAACTATTAAGCTCATAGGCATGAAGAACAGGCACAAAGTATACTTGGCTGACTTAGAAGACCCATGCATATTAGGGTTGGACTATTTACTACCGAGGAAGTGTGTAATTAATTTTGCTGAAATGACGTTTGGGAACAACAAAGGCCAAATTCTGGTAATTGTTAAAAGAGAGGTTGAACTAACCAGGTATCATCAAGCTGAAGTCAAAGTGACTGAAGGAGTTGATGATGGTAAAGTGGAACCAGGTATAGATATTAAAGCAGAGCAGGAGAAAGACCAAGATTTGAAGCCAATAATTGATTTTCTAAAACCAAGTGTTTTATGCCCTCCTTGGGAGAAGGTGTCTAGTCTAAGCCTTGTGACAAAGAACTATTGGGCACAATGTCACCAGTTGAAGCTTGAAGATGGTATTCTTGTCCGGAGATGGGAAAGTGACGACCTCGCAAATAGTTATACCAAGAAAGTTACGGGAAGTTGTGTTGCGTCAATCCCATGATAGTTTAACAGGAGGACATCTCGGAGTTAAGAAAACATTGAGTCACCTACGACAGAGATTTTACTGGATAGGTATGAGACAAGATGTGGAAGAATGGTGCAGGTCATGCAGTACATGTTGTGCCAAAAGGGGACCCAAGCATAAGGGACGTGCTCCAATGAAGTTATATAAAGTTGGTGCACCAATGGAAAGAGTAGCTGTTGGCATTGCTGGTCCTTTGCCCCAGACTCGTGCTGGAAACAGGTACATTTGTGTGGTGATGGTTTATTTCACCAAGTGGCATGAGGAATATGCAATACCAAATCAGGAAGCTTCAACAGTAGGTTTGGCTATTAGTGATTTCTTCTTCAGATTTGGTATGTCATACGAACTGCATTCAGATCAAGGCCGTAACTTTGAATAAGCTGTGTTCCATGAATGCTGCAAGTTGTTTGGCATACAAAAGACCAGGACAACGCCACTTCACCCACAGTCTGATGGGAGGGTAGAAAGTA